TGTTGTCTTGCTTGCAGTTCTTTCTTCTAGCATCCTATCACTTATCCAGCCGTCACAGATGTGATCGCTCGATCAGAGAAGAACTGGCATATAAGCGAAGACGTGTTCTGAACTTTATCGAGCTTATCACACTAGTAGCCCATCGAAGAAGCTTCATTCTTGCTGCATGTATCTGAAATCTTAGCCAGTTTCCAGTACTAATAGCCACAGAGGAGGATGATGGCGTGAACAGACATGAAAACAGAGGACGATGCCTCCTGATAATTTTATTAAGTAATAAACATGGAACGCTTCATTCCTTGCCAGTTCTTCTTCACAAAATACAATAGACAATAAAACACTGAACTTACCGTCTGTTAATAATACTCACCGCCGCAGTGGTCCAGGTTATTTAATTGGCCATTTTTGCTGCAGAAAAATTACTAGCTGTAACTTCGAGGCTTTTGACTGTTGCCATGCTCTTTGAAACATGGAAGCAGATTATGTTACGAGGTTACTTAAAAATTACGAGGTTTATCGATCTTTCGATCCGAGTTTTTATCACTCATCACATTGCTGCTGCCTCTCTAGCAGATTCGTTTTCACGGTGAAAGTGTCATTAATCCCAAAATATTCATATAAAGAAACCCTAGGAACAAAATGTTAACAGATCTACTAGTGCGACCAAAAGCTGTTGATAGAGTGACTGATAAGCCATCTTCTCTATTTGTTGTCGACCATAAAGTGATAAGGTATCTTGAACAGAGGATGACGTTTTAAATGTAGCTTTCAGATTTAATTACGATTGTGTTTGATTTTATGTATCATCTTCCTACATTCTCATGTATCTGTGTATATCTTTGTGTATATCTAGAGGCTAGTCACACGGATATTTAAAAGTGAAATTGGGTAGATTTGATTCGCAATGCTGTAATTCATGTTTATTTGGTCCTTCGTTCCTAAACATGATTGAATGCACTTCTAGTGTTTCATGATGGAGAGATACCTGCTGGACAGGGACCTATACCTATCTGGAAATTTCGATGAACCGGAAGTGACACGCTGCGACGAAGATGAAGAAGCATCTACTGATTTTGTTCGTGAGTTTTCGATGATGAACCATCGTCCAAAGGTTAATCACTCCTGCAGCAAAAATATCGGTCACATTCTCACCTATGCTATAGACGATGAAGTGTTTATGGAAGATTCAGAAGAATCCGACGATGCAAGTGTGATCTCTTGTATCCAGAGTACCGATGCCTCAGTCCAAATGTGCCTTACTGACGAATGCAGTCAACCGAGTCACGTTGGTAACGATGGCGGTGGTGAAGGTTCGACAGCCGCATCCGGTGGGAATTTGTCGTCTTGGACATCGTCAGTTACCTCATCGCAACGTTACGCATGGGATCCGTTATTTTCTGCCGACGAAGATGGCTTCAACTCGTTTTCGAACGTGTTCACCTACGGTTACGATGATGCAGATACTGCTCTGGCAACCTTGACTCCGGACTGCGATCAAAACTGGTCGAGTTCGGAAGCTAGTCAGAACAGCCGTGATCCCTCAGAATGGTCTCTGTTCATGTCCAAGCGGTCGGAGAACCATAGTCAGCTGTTCAGTGAATTCGATCAGATTCAAGGCGACCTGTGGAAACTAAAGATGGATGTCAATCAGCTGGACTTTGAATGCAATAGGTATATGACTAAACGCGCAGAAGTGGATTTCGCTAAACTCTACCGGTCGGTGCGCCTGTCGGACTCAGACGCACAGTTTAGCTGCTCTTCCGATAGCCTGTCTTTGTCGAACGATGGTTCTTCGCATAGCAACGCAGTCCTTGCCATAAAACACTGCTCACTTTCGGAACCCTGTCTTTGCGGTCATTCGTCAGATGTATATATGCGTGCGAGAAACGTTTCTGCGCCTTACTCGGCGAATCGCTCCTCCTCTTTAAAGCTGCGTCGTCTAAAGGAGACGAAATCGCTCACTTACGATCCCGGTCTTCCGATCGGACCTGGACTCGGCGTCAGTGTTTCCGATTCCTACCATACGCAAATATCAGTCGACATCGCGCCGTCGGACTCTGCTTCTGATCATGCATCAAGAAAGGCGATGTTCAATTCGAACAGCTTTGTCGAGTCTTTCATATCCACAGATCTGCACAGCAGTGACTCGTCTGACGATAGCGAAACCCTGAAGCAGAATGATTTCCAGTATCCACCACTGTCAACGCATGGATCAGAGTCACGAATCAGCGAAGAATTTTCTTCCAGCTTGTCACTTGAATCGAGCGATTTGGAGTGGGAGGAATGCGCCGACTGGACGATGCCTGACACTATCGATAGATCCAGTGAGCTACGTGTCATTCGCCAACTTCCAGCTCTTTCCGTTCAGTGTCTGAATGAAGTACTTCGTGACTTCCTCTTCGATGTCGACAGACTCAGTCAAGTAAGTGTAGTGCCATTTTGTTCCTACCGCGTGAAGATCAAAGGTCTGCTTTTTGTTCCAGTTTTCCAGTTGTTTTTCGTTACATCCTTCCTCTGATCACAATATAATGTGCTGTTGATGATAGTATCAGATGAATCAACGGCCACTTCACGAAACTTATGTATTCTAAGAGAAGAATAAATAATCCATATTTGCATAACCGATGTATAACCGTGAGGAACGTACAACACCACAGAAGAGAATGATTAGCCTTCATTTGCCTGAACCTGTTATGTTTATAATGCCTAGATGCCAATAAGTAGTTGTTTACACCGGGTTGCTCTGTCGGGAGAGCATCAGATTGCTACTTAACCGTGAAGTTCTGCATTTGGATCCCTTTCATGTCACTTGCCTTCCTTCTGAGGTTGAAAAATAAGTACCACTCTGTGGAAAAAAAACAGGGGATTACATACTGTTTCCCATATGGTTGCTATGGACTCGGCCTTTAAAATATGACACTCCTGTTTGATGGCGTGGAAATAAGGATCAGCGCAGGAATGCCCTACATTGAAACTGCCAAGAAGACCGACCGACGTTCCGATCATCACATCTTTTCTTTCTTATGATAATACGGTGAAACTTGTATATCAAGAAAATAAATCGGTTGTTTTTTAAAGCTCATGTTGATGCTGAATTTTGTTCTTCTCCTTCCTCATGTTTTTTCTTATTTTCAGACTTTTTCTTCTTCCAAGGTGAATAGAGGTCAGAAGATTATTAATTAATCAACTCTAAACAGAAGTTATTAAAAAGAACAGAAAATGCTCAGCAGATTTTTTCGTTCATTTTATCTGCCCTTATTCATTTATGTCGCGGCGCAGTGGCTTCAGATGCTTCTTCAAATGACCGCAATTTTCTAATCATTGTAGGCCAGGTTTTAAACACACGCAAACCATACTGTCGTTGGTCTGTCCTCTGGCTACCTTCCATATAACTTTGTGAATGTATTGGCATCTGGCCTACTCGTCAACATGAAAACAAAATGTTAAATCAGATCAAAATCTAAACCATCACAGCTACAACTGTGATCTCTCAGTCTGGGGATGAAGCCTTATGGACAAAATGCCCTCGGCATGTGGCAGTGCCATTCCAAGTTGTACGGCCTTTTTAACTAAACTCGCCAATTGTCGGATCAATCCATTTTCTAGCACTGCCGTCATCTCATCCGCGTCTGCCTCTTTGTCAGATTGTCTGCTTCTCAGACAGATCATTGCGGCTAGTTTTCACTTATTGAGACTTGTTCTACTATTCGTAATGCGTTGGTACGTTCGGTGGTGTTTAATCTTACCTCAACAAAGGACTGAAATGGTGATTTGAAAGTTTTTAGTTTTGTATTTTAATGTGGTGTCATGTTTGTTTTATAAACATACCCGTTGTGAGACCTATCTGTCATAACAATAAGCGTGAATTGATTGACTTGCTGTTTTAGACGCTGTAC